TATCCTCCACTGGTTTACCGTTAATAACATGGTGTTAAATGCTAAAAAAACTAAATGCCTTCTTTTTACCCTTCCCAGCGTAAGAAGGCGAAGTTTTAGCTTAACATTAAATAGCGTAACCCTTAATCCTGTTGAGTCCGCTGTATTCTTGGGAATTACAGTGGATTCAAAGCTCCAATGGAGTCCCCATCTATCATCTCTTGCGAACAGGTTAAGCTCCGCTGTTTTTGCAGTTAGGAAGGTTAGGCAGCTATCAGACATCGACACTGCCAGACTTGTTCATTTCAGTTATTTCCACAGCATCTTGTCTTACGGCATTTTGTTGTGGGGTAGTGCATCTGATATAAATTCTATATTTATTCTTCAAAAAAGAGCTGTCCGAGCAATCTATAACATCGGAGCCCGGAATACACTCAGAGACCTTTTTAAAGAGATTAATATACTCACTGTTGCGTCTCAATATATTTATTGTAATATTTTGTATGTTAAAAATAATATTAATAGTTATCTAAAGAATAGTGACAGACATAAACTAAATACTAGAAATAAGGACAAACTAACTACGCCATTGTTTCGTTTACAAAAAGTAAACAGGTCGTTCATGGGGCAAGGTGTGCGCATGTATAATAAAATCCCACAGTCGATATTAAGTCTGCCACTTGATGAATTTAAACGAAAAATTAAAAGTAAACTTATGGCTAAAGCCTATTATTCTATTGCTCAATATCTTGACGACGCCAATGTGTGGGGTTAATACTGTTGATACTCACGTAGGCTAAAACAAGACTATTGTACATGTACTATTATATTGTAAACTAATTTTTTTTTTAAAAAAGAGCAACTGTTGAGTTTCTTGCCGGTTTCTTCTCAACAGAAACTGCTTTCCGAACCGGTGGTAACTTATGAACGTGTTCATTTCTTGTAAAATTTTGACGTTTCATAAGAACGCGCAAGCGTCTATGTGAATAAAGATATTTTATTATATTATTATTATTAAACACAACAGTCTTATTTAAAGATGCATTACTTAAAGTTTTGCACCCTCATTTCCGCCGATCTACTTTTACTTTTGAAATTTATCGATTCGGCAATCGTGATATCTGTTACATAATATTCAGTAAGCACATTGTCAGCGTAGACTATAGTTTTGTTTTGCCACTTAACAGCATCGCTTTTGTTCATCAGATTTAATGTTACGCTTGAATTGAGTATAACTGTTACGTTGAAGCAAGCATATAAAACTGCAAACGAACTTTTTAGGTAATCAAAAAGTGGTACTAAGAAGTTTCACAAAATTTCAACCAATTCTAACGTTGGCAGAACTATAAATATTTAAGGTCTCTCACATATGGAGCAAACAAAAGTATGTGTTTATCTTATTTAATGCTTTACTGTGGCCTTACCACAGTAAAGCATTAGATAAGATAAACCGCAAATCCTAGCAAATAAACCCTGATCCCCCCCTTAAAGAATAATTATTTTACTCGCAAGCCTATGTATATAACGGAAACATCCTTGTAACAGCAACAACTACCAACTTAAGATGCAATATACAATCCTGATAATTTATGATCGTATAATTCACTCCCTCACCTGTTGTTTTGGAGTCTTTTACCCTTACAAAAGCCAGTCTACGATCATCCTTATTCATTGTAAACATATTTGCTTGTAAACAACACATTACGCAACTTTAATTATGCAACAAGAACGATTCTGGTATCGGATTAAAATACAACTGTCTATTTGATGACCTCATGTCGTCGTAATCTGTGTATTCCTGAAAATAATTTCATTAAGTAATAAATAGTCCCACATATGAAAGTAATGTAAAATAACAGCTTATACATCTTCACCACTGCCCACTGCTGGGCAATTGGCGAAGCTGTCGACACTCTACCGATCTCATGGGGCGAAAATATTATTTTGAAACTTCCAACACAAAAAAGTGCTACCAACTTTCGTCTTCTCTTTGCTTTTACGCCCACTTTGAAATCCACACTATAGGTGGGTTAATACCGGGTTAGGTGTTAAGTAACAAGATTTGTGTACAATTAGAATGCACATCGAATAATTTATTTAGAAAATAAAATACAAACTGCTCCATATATTTATTAGTATATTTAGTAAGGATATCGTGGGTTCGATCGCCACAGACCAGACATTTGTGTGACCCATAGATTGATGTTTCGCGTCTGAGTGAAATTTATGTTTGCGTACGTCTTTATAACACAGGATAACATTACATTATCCTGTGTTGTAAGAGGGTTACCTAAAGTAAGGGCAATGTTTAAAAAAAATACGAAAAAATAAGCAATTAATGTGTGATTGCGACACTAATGATAATATCTCTTTATACTTCTTCAGACGCGAGCGCAGTAGTACTCTACAAGACGTGGCGAATTGTGTCTGCAACTGTGTCGGATCGATTTTAGTTGCACTTTGGTTGCGACAAGAGCCCAAGGACATGACGGCAATGCGGTTCAGTACACACCTGATTGAAATTAAAAATTTCCCACGCCTACCAACCTTCTATGATTCTGGTCTGGTGGTGAATCTGATGAATCTTTTACAGACTTACTATGAGAGCAAGCCCTGTATAAAGAATAAAACAAATATTACCTTGAAATGGAAAAGCGTCGTTCATTGTGACGTTCAAGGGAAGGCTTTTGTTTAACAGTAGACGTCTTCTGGCTGATGATAGCGGTGATGATGATGATGATATATTCAACAAAAGCAGCAAAAGCGCATCACGTTGCTCGATACTTCTTCACAGATCACTCACCTGACACTAATCGAATCCCAGCTTCGTTTTAAAAGTCACAGATTTGATTTGGAATTTATTCCTGACATATATACATTTGCTGTAAACGCTTTCACACTTGCCTTGTCACTATATACTATGCTTTGTAAGCCTACACGCAGTACCTTGTGTATTCATTATATATTTTTTTCTTACATGTCCAAGTCAACTCTCCTTCCCATATGAATAACGTATTATTTGTCAACCGACTTCAAAAAATAAGGAGGTTATCAATTCGACTGTATTTTTTTTATGTTTTTTACTTCAGAACTTTCGAATGAGGGAACCGATTTTGATGATTCTTTTTTTATTTGAATGCTGGTGCTTCCCATGTGGTCCCATATTAATTTCATTGGTATTGGATCTTGGGCTAGGGAGATAATTAGGGAACTCCTGAGAATCAATTATCAAATGAAAACGCGAGATATTTGAAGTTGGTTTAGGTTTTCGTTAATAAAAAAAATGGACTTGTGGGACAACATTTCTCTTTTTCATTGCTATCATTTTCATTTCACAATGACCGCATTCCCGTTGGCTTTGTTCAGCTGTTTTTTTTTAACTGTTTTCAATTGAACTCGCCGAACAGACAACAATTACTTAACCCTCGGATCCATTCGATTCGTGGACGGCTTGCGAAAAAGATTTTCAGTATTCACAAATGTTATTGCAGTTCATGCTGTAAGCGAGACTTTTATCTGGCTGGGTATTAGTTGAGTACCGTTTCCAGGTTTATTAAGACCCAAAACACAAATTATGCTGTTCTTTTTATCCTAGAGACAAATTGGAGACCCTAATTTTGACATGCTAAGAAAATTTTATAACTAGCATTTAATTAGCTTTTTCAAATAATCGTTATTTAGATATTATTCTGTACACTAAGTAAGAGGAAGTTGACGTTGTAGAATAAGTAAGTATTTTATGAAAAAGATTTTCTTGAGTAAATCACTTTGATATAAACAGAACGTATAAAGCACAAAGCACTTAATTAGTAAAAGTAATTAATTTTTGGCTTAAATTTTAAAAATTGAAATTTTCCAATCACCTATTTCATCACTCGTCACACGTCGTTTTCACAAAAAAATCCAATACTATCATCTCTAAATACATATTTAAACCTTAAAACTACTTAATTCTATTTTCATAAAACATCGGTTCAAAGACATACAAAAATCCAATATGGTTTTAAAAAAAGTACAAAGAAATACTATTACTACTTAAATAAGATTATGTTTACATGAGGGTACGAGGTGACAGGATATGTCAATGTATTTTCTCCTTAAGTTTTCTTTAAAAGCCTTCATTTATTCGTATAGCAGCACATATAAATTGCAATTGAAAACACACAAAATGGTTCAAATGCAACTGTATACAGAACATTTTTAGAAATTTAGGAACATACGGAAGTAACGCCATGTCAGTGATATAATTTATCTTCCTCATATTTAGTACTAAAGGCTGCAACTTATTTATTATTCTAAAAGAGATTTTATATGCATTCTGAATAGATAAATTTCATAAGATTTTGTTTTGACTTGACTGAGAAAGTGGCAAAACCCACAAACTTAGGTATAAATATCATGACGAAAATATCGGGAGGTATCAAACGAAGCCTTTATTTTAAATGTTCATGCCTCGGCACCAATGAAATTGATTAACTGCAATGTCCTCCCACAATTTTTTTCCAAGAATAGCATGGATAAGACAGTGCACGTCTTACTTGTAAGTTTAAATGTTTAATTTCTTACTATAAGGGAATTTTAGACTAATTTCAAATTAATTTTTACTTCAGTTCCAATTAAATTTGCTTATAATGTTTACAAGAAAAATTACCAGTTTTCGAAGTAAATGTGCGCAATCGGTACATGCGAAATTGGCCTATTTCCGAGGAATTTATTATAATGAATAAAATCATGGAACCTTATTGAAATTCGTCAAAATTAAACAATGCTATTATAATGGGCCACAATTTGTATTGTACACAAATATGTTACAAAAGAGTTATTCAAGGCAGATCGTCCCTATTCTTACATCGACCGCTAACGGAGAGATTCGTTTTACAAACAATATAAATAATCGTAGCTAGCGAATGTTAAACAGTCTACGTCGCGGAGCCACTTGGGCATCACCTCTCGCCGTGTGTTTGTTAATATAAGCTAGTAATGTTATCATTATGAGAAATTCAACGCCTTTCAACGTCGAAATGATCTTTCTTTATCTTCTCCTATTATTTTGTAACCATTCGTTCAGTTTGAGCATTGGATCATCGAGTGACGCACAAAATTTGACTAAGCGTGACGCTACAGGAGACTTCTTCCCGGATTGGGTGCCGTTCAAGAACAAACACGGTGACGAATTGGGCGAATTCGTGGCCGTCGTAAAGAGAAAGCCAAAGAAGCGGTTGGCTCTGCCTGCTAGTTTCGCGATGCGAGCGCAACCGGATCTGGAAAGTGGAGACTATGACGATAAAGTACAGGACGAGAACACTGGTGACGATTATTTTGAAAAGAAGGACTGGTCAAATTTACCTAAGTTTGATAATGTTGACGTAGAGAAATCAGATCCAGCAAAAATAGCAGATATAGACGGAATAGTGAGTATTATAACAAATTCCAATGAAAAAGTTGAAGCGCTGAAAGAAGAGGAAAAAGCAAACGATGAAATCGAAGATCAGGATAAGGAAGTAACAGAAACTACTCAAGATAATAAAGATTCTGCTAAAAATAACAGAATCAATGGAAGTAAAGAGGCCCATAAAGAGGAAAGTGACTATGATTATGAAGAAAAGGCACCAGCTAAAGATAATCCCAATAAAACTACAGACGATCAGAGTGAAAGTGAGGCTAAAAAAGCAAAAATATTAGACAGTGTGGATGAACTAAAAGAACGACATGCTAAAGAGCAAAGACTTATATCTGAAAAAATCAAAGAGGAAGAAATGTCGAAAGAAGAGCTTGAAAGGGATAATCTTCAAGATTCGAGGGAATTTGACAAATATAACAATAAGTTAAATTGGAGAAAAGGAAATGATGATTACGATCAATATGACGATAAAGATTTCGATGTTAATGATAAATACAAAATAAAAAACAAAAAATCTAGAACGCGGGCACCGATTCCTAAAACAATTACTAGAACTACTGAAAAACCATCAGAAAACGGAAAAATTTCCGTGTTCACAAATCCACATGCATACCTCATAAATGAATATGAGGATAGCGAAGAAAATCCTACGACGTTGAAACCTAAGAAAAGTAAAATTTCAAGAGAAAATGGTGCGAAAATATTCTCCTCACGATACGTTGAATCCGTGCCAAAAGAACACGATAGCGAAAGAATTTCGTTAGTACCGCAAGAAACCGACTCGAAAGAAGGCGAACCGACATTATATTTCCCGAAAAAGAAGAAAAACAGGCGTCGATCCAAGACCACGACAACAACGCCGGAGCCAGATTCCGACGAATCAGCTGACACGGTAGAAGAGCCGGAAAGGAATAAACATATTTACCTAAAACCAGTAATTCCACAGCGCACGAGCTATGAAATGGATACAACAGGTGCAGATGCACCGGCTCCAGTAGATACTGTAGCCTCAGCCGCTGATGCTGCGATAGGTGCGTTAGTCGTCTCGGAAGATCCAGTAACCGACCCTCTGCCCTCTTCAACGGAGCAAAAGGAACAAAAGGAAGAAAAGAAGCCCGAGAACTTTGAATATGAGAAAGGTAAGGAATGTACAATTAAGAAATACTAGTATAAATATACTAACAGTTCGAACCTGAGAGACTTTGGTTTATTGCAGTAACAATTGTGAGTGTAATTTTATCTGAAAAGAAATTGAATACTCATAGAATTATTTTAAAACATACGACATAATATAGGTTCATATACATAACAACAGAGTCTGCCTGTTCTGCAATAGACGAGGCCTACTTATTAAATTGAGAATATTAAAATGTTATATGAAGTTAATTCGAATTGGAAAAGAACTGAAATGCATACATAAAAAAAGTCGTCGATAATTAATTTTTTTTCATTATTTTCATAGTTTATTAACTCACTCTTAGTGCTAATTTATAATAACTAACTTAACTAATTTGCTAACGCATTTTTATACTTTTTTTTAGTCTCCTTCCAATTTTTACAGTCTCCTTTACGAGTATTATGTCACTATAATAAATCACATATCGTAGCAAATCATTACATGCAAACCACATTACCGTATGATCGCATAACACTTTCGTTATCAATTCGATTGTCAGCTTGTCAAGAAATGTTTGCTCAAACATTAACATCCAAAAACGATTGATGTTGACCTTGATTGCTTTTTCGTGTTAATTCAAATACATTATGGCATGCTTCTTTCACTTAAAATGTTGATACATACATAATTTTAAAATTATGGTATGTTTGTATATTAGAGGATGCTGCGATTCTCGCAATAGCTTCTAAAATACAAACGGGCTGGTTAAACTGGAGAAGCCCCACCACGAAGATAAGATAGATGAGTTTATACTTTTTAGTTTTACCATTAAAGGAAACCAAAAAGACCTATCATCCTAATTGGCAATGAACTTGCAACCCATTTTGTCTTGGTAAGTTCATAAAGCGCCAATAACTCACTAACACATAAAATTCTCATCCTTTGTTTATTCCTAACAATTCAAAATTAAAATTTCCTTTGTAAAATCTCGTACCGGAAACGGCAGTTATGCGATTAACAAGGTAATTGATTCTTGTTGTAAAAGCACAAACGAAGTTTTAACATTTATTAGGCTACTGCAACAGAAAACATATAATTGCAGATTGACCACAATCTTAACTGCACTATACCAACAGTGCCGTTAATATGAAGGATATATTAAACACTTAACTCAAATAGATGACTTATTTTTTGATGACTCCGTGGCGCAGTTGCCAAAGTATGGGCTTCGGCGTCGGGGGTCGTGGGTTCGATTCCCACACGGGACAACTATTTGTGTGACCGTGTGATTCTTATATCTGGGTGTTTGTCCGCGTGATATATGTGTATGCAAAAACTCCTTACAATACAGGATAATGTTATCCTGTGAATATACAGTAAGGGAAACGTTAAAAAAAATTGTATCATTCCATTATTATAGCCGATTTGTTTCATTCACTCGTAATTTGAGGTCTCTGCGTCGAGTTCAGTCACGTTAAAGCCGATGACGGGTTAAGCCTAACGTAGCTTAAGCCTGTACCCTATCCGAAGAATGAATGAAGAGTTTCTTGAATACTGAATTAATTGTAAATAGATGCTTACAGATTCACCGTCACGCAACTCGATTAGAATTTGACTCCGAGGAGGAATGTTCTAGACCATTTGCTTTTTTCTTAGCCAACGAGCGCCCAGAGACCTGCACGGTTGACCCATCATTTTCCGCTCGATTAGCTTTCTTTCCAAATCGAGATACCGAGAGACGGTTTTATTTATCGCAGTTTATCAATCTGCCAATTAAGCTTCGTGCGATAGTGAGGTTTCTAAAATAATAGCGAAGCACATGTATAGATTTGTGAAATTAGATCGTAATTTTATTTTTGTGTATTGTGTAAACTTTGTGGTTTAAAATCAAATTACGCGCCTAAAATCAATTTAAAAATAAATGAACTCGTTTTTACTCATCCATCGAGTATCGTTCGTTTGATTCTTTTTATTTTTTTTAATATGCACAATAACTTACAATGGCGGACTTAACACCATCAAGTGCTCTCTACCAGTCAACCGACAAATAAACAGAGAGAATAAGGAGGTGCGAAAGAATCAGAGAGAGAAAAATACGATAATATAAAAAATATTACATACATATACTCGTTAATATACACGTATAATAATGGTTATATAAATGGTATATATATATATTTTTATACATATAATTTAGATTTTCCTGTGCAACGGGTATTATAATTCGATCTTCTGAAACCTACAATTTCCTCTATAACACAGAAAGAAACACACAATCTTGGCACTGTTATTAGAAGAGGAAAACGCAGAGTTATTTGAAAATCTCTAATATTTGATCTATTAATCCCACTATAGAGTTACGCCACGGGTGCTCCGTAATGTACTGTAAAAGTTATCGGTTTCGTACTGTACTGCATTAGAGGCTACTTAGTATTACCGTCCTTACCCTATATACTATATGGGACGATCAGGTATCTTATCCCGTTCGCCAGTAAACTCAGTGTGCCGTTTTAGCCGCCTTTAATTATAGACAGTTAGCCAATAGACAATATGACGTGAGTCATGATCTGACATCAACAACGCACAAACAACGCATTTGGTAATGTTTTAAGATTCCGTACCCAAAGGGTAAAACGGGATCCTATTACTAAAACTCCGCTGTCTGTCTGTCCTTCCGTCTGTCATCAGGCTGTATCTGATGAACCGTGATAGTAAGACAGTTGAAATTTTCACAGATGATGAAAATTAGAATAAAAAAATATTTAAGTGAAGCTTGGGAGCTTAATAATAATCATGTCTGTTGTATGGGTACAACAGACATGATTATTCATGCCGTTTTTATAGATAATGGTACGGACCCCTTCGTGCGCGATTCCGACTCGCGCCTGGCCGATTTTTTTTTATATTAAGAGTTTGCAAGCGTTGGCAAAGGCGATTCACGTGATTTTTAGACGTGTTAGGATTGATTAATTCGACTCGCGAACGGAATCTCTATACGAGTACATTCATGTCGACACCTATTCTTGCAAGAATCCATACCCCGTATTGTGTTATATATAGTGATGTTATATTAAATGAAACATTATTGAGGTGGCTTACGTTAGTGCTACTATATCTGTTTGTTTATTAGATGTCGATCATCTCGTCGACTATCATTTCAAACTGATGACTTTCAACTCAAATAGATATTTATACTTGAGTTCACTTTGGGTCTAAAATTTCATGTTTGGGAAAACTATCGCCGGAGAAATCTTTTGAATGTGGGCGTGGTGATCCAGGCTTTTTCGTATTCCTTTTTTATCCGTGTGATAAATCCTTTACGGATCCCCTGTCACTGGCAGGGGTATGTGGGATCAGAAACGGGTACCCACTAAAAATCCACGTTGCACCTGTCTCTGTCGCATCGGCCGGGGACAAGGGAACACGTCGACGAATTTTACACGACCACGGCGTGAATATTGCCTTTTTGGGCCTCCTCTTCATTGTTCTCATAATATTTCCTTTAAGCAAGAGTGTTCAAACCATATTTTCGCCGTCAAAGATCGATACTATTTAATTCTATGTTCTTGTTCAAATCTCCAGGGGAATATTTCGGCTATGCACAAATGAAAACACTTTTCGAGAAATAAACACTGTAATATTTACTCGGTATAAGGTTCCAATTTGGTTTGCCTTAGGTTCACAATGTTCGCGCCTTTTACATAACCATAGTCGAGAACCTCTTTAATCTAGGTGAGACAAATGCTAGCGCGATACAGGAATCTCACCTGATTTCACTAGCGCGCTCTATTATAAAAAAAATAAGTAATATTTTTTTTGGTATAAAGTTTATTTAACACCATCCAAAATATAATTTAAAACGAAAAATACTCAACCAATACTCTTCTCTCTTCTCTTAAGCATCACTACGGATATTTGCATATTTCATCAACGGCCAGTGGTATTGAAATTTTTAGGTCATGTCCGCAAATTAGCGACCTTCATGGGGAATCAATAATTTCCAGCCATCAAGGGTTTCGTCAGAAATATCGTTGGGGCAACCGTGTAGCAACAAGCGATCTTGTTGAGGGCGTGTAAAAAAAATTAAATGCGAAACGTTTTGTAATTTAAAAAAAATAAACATCAATTTACTAATTATTTGTAATAATTTACTAAATACTTTTATAAATGTGACATTGCATTACGGTTTTCGAGCAACCGCTAAAATTTTTATATAAGATTTTTCTATTTTCATCTGAAGATTAACTTTACTACTAGTTGATATAACGACAGGTAGGTTGCAATATCATTAGATGTATGTAATAGTGAAAGTAAAATTTATCGATTTTGTTACATTCAAACGTCCATCTCTACATATATATACAACCATTTATAATAATAACCAATTATAGCTGATAGCTTAGAAAGACCACATTTTTTTTATGTGAGAAGGTGGCAAGAGCCACCTGGCGGTTCACCTGATGGTATGTGGTACAGACCGCCCATGGTTATATGCAACACCCGTAGGGTGGCAGACGCGCTGCCTCTTTTTAATGAAGTGGGCCCCAGCTACCTCACTCAGAAGAATAACACTTTGACGCCGGTCTTCTGTGAGGTCGTGGTACTTACCGGATGGATATGTTCATTCGTGCAACAGCCGAAGCTATTGCGTGGCCAAGGTGATGATGAAGATGATGTCTGCTTAAAAACTTCGAGCGTCGCTACAAAAAAATCTACATTTTTGACTTGCATTCAGAGACTTTAACTCTAATTGTTTTTACTGACGTGTCACAGTCATAGTACTCGTATACAGTCAAAATCATAATTCCTGCTTCAAATACTTCCTAATTTATGGCATATACTCCGTCAGTTCTAAAGTCAAACTCCAGAGAAGAACAGGAAAATATCTCTGAGATCATAATATTTTGTTAATCCTTCAAGAAGAGAGCCCAATCCTACTTCAAAGGCTGGCAACACAACAGTGACTCCTCCGATGTTGCAACTGACCATCGGCGGGGCTGATCCCTTACCATCAGATGACCC